AGTTTAACTTTTAGAGGAGTCCAGGACCTCAGGGAGGCCACTTTGCTCTTTAAACTTTAAAGGTAAGTCCTTACCTTTAAACTTTAAATGTAAATGTGGATGGCTGCCTATGCGCATGCGCAAACTGTGTTAAAAAAAAACCCGCCAATGCCTGCTGTGTGTGAACGGGCATACAGCGATGGGCTCCGCAGACAGGAGGTAAGTGTGATCGCATTTCAGCCGGCATAAACGCCCCGGCTGAACGCACCCTATCTGTGCTTATGTTTGTGCTCATGAAAGATGGTTGTTGCCCTAACCTGGGTAGCCCAGGCAAGCCCAATCTCATCAGACCTTGGAAGCTAAGCTAGGGGTTGACCCTGGCAAGTACTTGGGTGGGAGACCTCCTTGGACAACCAGCAGTCAGGAGGCGGGGGCAGGCTTCATTCAGCCACCTCTCTGAATATCCTCTAGGCCCCCAGTAGGGGTCAGTCTCCAGAGGTGACTTCCAGGTGCTTACATGCACATTTTTTTTTAAATGAAAGATGGTTGTTTATGTATAATTGTGGTTACGTATTGTGTGTGTTTGTGTCTTTAGACACAGTCTAAATAAGTTTTGTGCGTCCAATTTTCTCTGTGCAAGAACTTCTCTCTTTTCTCCCTCCCTCACCTGCCAATCCCTCCCAGAAACCACACTTTTACATGGGGTGATCCTTTGTGCCAGATCCCATTGCTGGCCTGTGGAGAGTTGTTTGCCCCCTTCAGGTTCGTATTTTGGAGAACTGGCTTTCAGCCCTCCACATGGAGTTGCCAACTCCGGGTCTGTACATTCCTGGAGATCTCAGGTGGAGCCTGGGGAGGGACCTCTCATGCCATAGACTCCAGCCTCCCAAGTAGCCATTTCCTCCAGAGGAACTGTTGTTATTTGAGGAGATCTCCAGGCCCCTGAAGGTTGGCTAACGTACGTGGCACCCCTATACAAGTGTCCCAGAATCCTTTGCAACACAGCAGAGGTTACTGGGTTGTTAGCAGTCCTACTGCTTCGGGTGCTCTTCCCAAAATATATTTATTCCCAAGTAAACCCCCCTGCAATGTATTTGGAGGTTTTGGGGTTTTTTTAAGGCTTACCATGTAAACGACGGTGGACACTTCATAAATGATGGATTGAGCTGACAAATCCACGACGCTTAGCAGGCCTGAAAAAGAGGAGGGGGTGGGGAGCAGAGCCACATGGAATTTGGGCATCTTGAATCTTGCAAAGCATTAACTGGAAGCAGCAGGAAAGGGATTTGAACACCACCCTTCTCCAGAGGAGCTCAGAGCGATCTACAGGGTCCTTGTAAGACAGTTTGGTGTAGTGGTTAGGAGAACGGACTCTAATCTGGGAGAACCGGGTTCAATTCCCGACTTCTCCACATGCAGCCAGCTGGGTGACCTTGGGTCAGTCACAGTTCTCTCAGAGCTGTTCTCTCACGAGCAGTTCTCGAAAGAGCTCTCTCAGCCCCACCTGCCTCACAGGGTGTCTGTTGTGAGAAGAGGGAAGGAGATTGTAAGCCGCTCTGAGACTCCTTTGGGTAGTGAAGATTAATCGCCGTCGTCTTCTTCTCCGTTTTATTTGCACACCGCCCCTGTGAGGTAGGTCAGGCTGAGAGAGCGTGTGACTTGGCACTCAACACTGGGTGCAAAGTCAGCCGAGGAGGTTTTATGGCTGGGGGGCGGATCTGCACTTAGATCTCCCCTTTCATAGTTGTGCTGTAACCCCTGCACCACACCTGCTCCCAAAGAGAGTTTCAAATTATTTTACTCTTCATGATGCAAGGGAAATTACATAGGAGATATTTTGTTTTCCTTTTTTCTACTTATGGAAGTTTGGGGTGGGATTCTTGGTAATTTTTCCAGGAAGTTTCCACCCTCGCATCGTATTACCATCAAAACTCAGAAAGCTTCATAATCCTCTTCTACCTGCCCCCATTCAATTTGACTCCAAGTCATGACAGCTCATCATCAGGACGGCTCATCTTGTTGTTTACATTGATCCTGTCGCAACCAAGTGGGAGAATAGGGGGCGGGGCCTCCTGACGCCTCCCACCTCCTGTGGCCCTTACTGACCTATCAGAAAACTTCCAATTTCAAACGTCCACCATGCAAGGCAGGTCATGAGCATGCTGGGAACCGCTAAGGCCGTGAACTCGTCCCATTCCTGCAGGCACTCAACGGACCAGCCTAGGATCGAGAAGACAAACAAACAGGGATCTGCAACCTTCTCACTGACCTATCAGAAAGCTTCCGATTTCAAAGGTCCACCATTCAATGCAGGTCATGAGCATGCTGGGGACCGCTAAGGCCATGAACACGTCCCATTCCTGGAGGCATTCGGTGGACCAGCCTAGGTTGGAAACAGAAGGAGAAGAAATATGCGGCCGACAGAAGGACTTGCATGGCAAAGCTGCTCCCAAAGACGGGATCTGACAGCTCAAGCCCGACACGATTCTTAATCTCTTGGGCCTTTAAATCTGCTGGGGGACGAAAGGTGGTCTGATATGACTATTGGTTTGTTGGAATTCCAGGCGCGATTGATGGTTTCGGTTGGCTTCTTTTACTGACTCTCTCATTTCAGGTGGAGCAGCCATGTTGCCCTGAAGCAGTAGAGCAGATTTAGAGTCCAGTGGGGCACCTCTAAGACCAACAAAGGTTTATAAAGATGCTTTTACACACTTATCCCCTATTTTGACACTTTTATCACTTTGGTGTCCTTTCCCCCCTTAATGAAATCAAAACCAAAAAATGACCTTATAACCTTAGATTGTGATTTAATCTTGTTTTTGCATAACTTAAAACATGTTCATCATGTTACATGTTAAGTTGCTGTTCAGCCTCTGACCGATTTCGCACAAGAGCTGCGCCGCGGTCGCCACCTCCCTTTGCCCTGCTTCTATTGGTCAATTTCCCACTCGAAGCCACGTGGCTGCATTTTGACCCGCGGCTTCACCCGATTCTCCCCGCAGTTTCGTGATCCTCAAAAAACAGGATCACGAAACTGCGGGGGAAATCGGGTGAAGCCGCGGATCAAAATGCGGCCATGCGGCTCCAAGTGGGAAATTGACCAATCAAAGCAGGGCAAAGAGAGGTGTGAACGCGGCGCAGCTCTTGTGTGAAATTGGTCTCTGTCTATAAGTTTGGACTCTAACTTCTATTTCAGTGTATCTGAAAAAGTGTGCATGCACACAAAAGCTCATACCTTGAATAAACCTTTGTGGGTCTTTTAAATATATATATAAACAAGAGGGGGACCCGCGATACTCGCAGGGGGGGGAGAAGAGCTCCGTCTCCTCCATCCCCCCCATCTCCCCGAGCGAGGCCGGTGTCCCCCCCCCCGCCCACCGGGCCGCCTGCCCACCCAGCCTGCCGGCTCCGGGGAGGAGGCGGCGGCAGCAGCGAGGCCTGTCTTCCCCCGTCCACCCGCCCGCCCGGCTTGCCTGCCTGCCTGCCGGCTCCGGGAAGGGGGGCTTACTCTCTGAAATTAGCGTGGAAAATATTGTCTATCAGTTCCATCCAATTACTCCTTTCCGCTCAGTAAGGGCTTCAGTGGAAACAGTCTTACTGCAATGTCCTCCAGGGGACCGCCCGCCCGTCTTCCCGCCCGGCCGGCCGGAGGCGGCGGCAGGGTTCGCAGAGCGTCTCCTGCGCACGCGCAGGAGACGCTCTTGCACTTTCGGGGGGATTTAAACATCCCCCCGAAATTTTTTTAAACTTTTTTTATTTTTGTGCACATGTGGAAACTGGCCCACGTGTGCACAAACCTCACCCGGCCCCCCAGCTGCCCCCGGAGCGCTGATCTAGCGATCCACACTCCGGGGGCAAGTTGGCTATTAGATATATAGATGGTTATATTTACATGTTCAAGTCCAGATCCACATCTTTGTTTTAACCAAACATATACTTTTGACCATCTCTTCTGATGCAATTTATCATCTTTACCTTGCAGTACAATATTTATCAATTTCTGCTACATCCAGCAATCTATGTACCACCTTGTCCATAGTGGGGAAACCTTTGTTGGTCTTAAAGGTGCCACTAGACTCTAAATTTGTTCTCTCATTTCAGTTATGCTCCCTTTACATTATGGATGCCTACCCGCCATTTTTATGCAACTGATACCGAAATGTTGTAATGACCAGTGTTCCCTCTAAGCCGAGTTAGTGTGAGCTACCTCACAGTTTTTTAGCTTCCGACTCACACATTTTTGTCCTTGCTCAGGAAGGATGGCTGCAGAGCAGGCTAATTCATGCAGTGGCCAAATCACTCGCTCACAACTTTGATGCCAGTAGCTCACAAAGTGGAATTTTTGCTCACAAGACTCCACAGCTTAGAGGGAGCATTGGTCATGACCTGTTCTGGCCAGCCCAGTGACTCAAGGTTAGGCGTTCTCAGGAGAAGAGCCCAAGAAGCCAAGGCCGATGGCGGAGGAGGACTAGAGAGGGCCCGGCACCAAAGTGTTGCCTGCTGACAACGTTCCAGCCATGCCAAAGGCCATCCTGCCAGACAGGTTTGCCGGCTCTGGGCTGGGAAATAGCGGGAGATTTGGAGGGGCGAGCCTGAGGAGGGCAGGGTTTGGGGGACGGGAGGGACTTCTGTCGGGTCTAACGCCATACAGTCCACCTTCCAAAGTGGCCATTTTCTCCAGGTGAACTGATTTCTGTTGTCTGGAGATCAGAGGTAATAGTGGGAGACAGGGCTTTCTTTCTTTTTTTTTTGAAAAAGAGGTGCCAGAACTCTCAAAAGGGAAATGAAGTTTTCAGTGTGTCTACTGAAGACCCATGAACTTTTAAACATTTTTAAAGAACTTCATCAAAGAGGTTCCGGAACACCGCTCCGGCACGTTGCCCCAGAAAGAAAGCCGTGGTGGGAGATCTCCAGCCACCACCTGAAAGCTAAAATGAGAGATCACGGGAAGAGGTGGAACTCCAAAAACAACATCCGTGATAAAAATAACGAAGACTGGGTCCTGTTATTAGTCAACATGGAATGTTTCCAGCAGGAGTTGATAAGTAGTATTTGATAAGAACTGGCAGGGCTATTTTTGGGCAGGAACGCACAGGAACGGAGTTCCGGCTGACTCTTGAGAGTGCCACACCCAGCAGGAACTCGTTCGCATAATAGGCCACACCCAACAGCAGAAACTCATTAGGATTGGCTACATTAGAGGTGTGTGGCCTAACATGCAAAGAAGTTCCTGCTACAAAAAAAGCCCTTTTGACAACAAACAAGGTAAACAGAATAAGAAGCAAAAGGTGGGTGTGGCTGGATGAGCACACTTCTGGTAACATGGGGGTGCGGCCTAATAAGCTAATGAGCTGTGCTGTCAGGGGTGTGGCCTAATGTGCTAATGAGTTTCTGCTATTGGGTGTGGCCTATTATGCTAATGAGTTCCTGCTGGGATTGCTACACGCTCAGATCAAGTAAATATTGCGAAACGAATGTTCGCATTGTGCAGTGTTCGTTGGCGTGTGAGCGATGACAGAAGGATATTCCTTACAGAACTACAGAAATACTTCAGTAAATGTTTTTGCAACTTATCTTTATTGACTCTTTGTTATTTTTATCGCGGATGTTGTTTTTGGAGTTCCACCACCTGAAAGCTGGCACTGTACTGCCGGACAGGGTTGCCAGCCTCCAGGTGATGACTGGAGACCTCCTGGGAACAATGAGATCAGTTCATCTGGGGAAAGTGGCCACTTTGGAAGATGGACTCTTTGGCACTCTACCCCACTGAAGTCCCTCATCTCCCCACCCCAAGCCCCACCCTCCTCAGGGTCCACCCTCAAAAGCTCAAGGCATTTCTAGGGTTACCATTCCCCAGGTGGGGGCGGGGGACACCCTGCTTTCACAGGCTCCTGCCCGCCGCCAGCCAGCTGGCCGACAGGAGGAAATTCCCCCTGCCTCCCAAACAGTGACGTCATGCTTGATGCACTGACACCACCCAAAAGCATTGTAGGAACTTCGGTGACGTTGGGAGGGGGTGACACTCTGGTTTTTGGGCAAAACGCTACGGTTTGAGGGTGGTTTTACATAGAATTTTGCCCAAAAAGCAGAGCGTCGCCCCCAACATCACCGGTGGGCCCACATCACTTCCGGGCAATGTATGCACATCGTGCGACATCCCCACCCACTCCCAGAATGCCCCCCCCAGTCCCCCCGCCAGCACAATGATCAGACCGGGCAACCCTCGATATTTCCTAACTCAGAGCTGGCAACCCCACTGTCAGAGCCTGTGAGGGCAGCCTTGCCACTGCCCCCCTGAGATCCCCCCTGGGCGGCTGCCGGGTAGGATGCGAACCCGGGCCCAGAGCTGCCCAGGATCTGCTCCCACTCTACAAGGACAACAGTGGTTGAAGGCCCAGCTGGACGGAGGCAGCGCAAAGGAGGCAGAGCACCAGACTGGCAGTGGGCAACCCTGTCGTGGATCATCTAGCCCAGAGCTCTGAGAGGAAGACTTCTCTGCAGGAGTGTGGCCACAACACAGCACAGCCTCGGGAGCTCGACTAGCACCTGCTTGCGGTGCAGCTGGGCCCAGTTACCTCCCAGCCTGCCTAAACCGAGGACTGCTTTGCTGGATTGACCAGCCGACACGTCGCAAGCGCCTCCTCTTGTCTCCAGCCCCAGGCCTGGACAGTCCCAGGCAGTGTTCCCTCTAAGCTGAGTGAGTGTGAGCTAGCTCACAGTTCTTTAGCCTCTAGCTCACAGATTTTTGTCTCCGCTCAGGAAGGAGGGCTCCAGAGCAAACTAATTTATGCAGCAGCCAAATCGCTCGCTCACAACTTTAATGCTGGTAGCTCACAAAGTAGAATTTTTGCTCACAAGACTCCACAGCTTAGAGGGAGCATTGGTCCCAGGGTCCAGGTGGATCCCTGCAAAGGCAACCTGATTGCAGAGAGCAGGACAGACAAGATGAAAATGCATGGATTTTGTGCAGAGGAAAGAGAAACTGGATTCATTCCTTGCAAGGCGGCGAAGACAAATCGAAAAGGGGCTGTTTGAACTGAACCGGCTGTCTTTCCAAAACTGGTCTTTCCCAGAGAGGAGGTTTGTCGCGTGCATAACGGACTGATTGACAAGAAGTGGAAGGAATCCATCGCACCTCCCCAGGTCTCCACGTGGAGCTTTCTCCATCGGATGTACAGGAAGAGGATGATGGCTTGCGAATACTGGGCAATGGTGTTAGCCCAGGCAGAGCCCCTGGAGCAAATGGAGAGAAGGAAGGAAAGAAGAGAGCGTTACTTGGACAGGAGGTCATGATAGGCGCTTAACACATCTGTAATTGTAAACAGAGCAGATGCAGGAAGAGTCTTCCTTCTTAGGGTTGCCAACCTCCAGGTGGCGGCTGGAGATCTCTTGCTATTACAACTGATCTCCAGGCGACGGAGATCAGCTCACCTGGAGAAAACGGCACCTTGGAAGGCGGACTCTGTGTCATTATATCCCGAACGCCGCCTTCCTCAGGCTCCACCTCCAAATCTCCAGGTATTTCCCAACCCAGAGCTGGCAACCCTGTTCCTCCTCTCTCATAAGGCTGGGGGGAGGGAAATCACTCAGTGAAGCTGAGCAGCTCTCTGTCCAATCAGAGAGAAGGAAGGAAGGAAGAAGAAGAAGAGGTTGGATGTATACCCCGCCCTTCACTCGGAGTCTCAGAGCGGCTTACAAACTCCTTTCCCTCCCCCTCCCCACAACAGACACCCTGTGAGGTAGAGCTCTTTCCAGAACTGTCCTTGAGAGAACAGCTCTCTGACAGAAGAACTATGGCTTGCCCAAGGTCATCCAGCAGCTGCAAGTGGAGAAGTGGGGAATCAAACCCGGCTCTCCAGATTAGAGTCCGCGCACTTAACCACTACACTGCAAAATTAACTTATGGAACTCTTTAGCCCGAGAAGTGGCGAGGGTCACACGCTTTGAAGAATTAAAAAGATGGTTAGCTACATTTACTGAGAACAAAAGCAGCTGCTAGAAGCCTTGATATTAACCATCGCATCGGTTTCGTTGTTGGCTTCCTTGAAGAAGAGAGGGTGTCCCCTTCCCCTCCCCTTATCCCAGCAGCCTTTGATATATCAATTTCACGTGTTCTTTTTCAGTGAGTTCTTTGATGGCATTTTTAATGCCATTTCCGTGTTATAATATCCCATTTGCAAAGGACAGATTGGAATTCTCCTGAAACCAAATGCAATTTCAGCTCCTGAGCGGAACATCTCTCTTCTGTTTTCCTGGGGCTGTTCTTTTTTTCTTTGAGATCTGGGCTTGGACTGTAATCAGCAGTGGAATTAGAAACACACACACCATTCTGCAGAGCTCACAAGCATCCCCCTGGGCATTCCCTTCTGCTAGACTTCTCCCATCGATATCTGAATGAAAAGACTTTGCCCTGAACTCCGAGCCAAGCTGCAAGGAAAGAAAAGCCATGCGGCCGTGTGATGTCCTCCGAGTGTCTCGTGGGCTTCCTCACCTGACCCCCATCTCCAGCTCATAGAGGAAGACGTAGTTTGCAATCAGGTTGACGATGTTGCCCGCGGTGCCACACAAGACCTCAGGCCAGATGATCCGCTGCAATGCAAAAATACTTTGGGGTTAATTTCTAGTAGTGCAGTAAAGTGCGTGTAAACACATGTGGGACTGTGGCTTAGGGGAGCCAAGCACACGTGGCATGCAGAAGGCTGCATGTTCAATCCCCAACATCTCCAGTTAACTGAACACAGGTGTTAGAAAAACGCCTTCTTCTACCTGAGTTGCCACCAGTGTTCCCTCTAAACTGAGTTGGTGTGAGCTAGCTCGCTATTTTAGCCTCCGGCTCACATATTTTTGTCTTAGCTCAGGAAGGATGGCTCCAGAGCAAACTAATTTATGCAGAAGCCAAATCGCTGGCTCACAACTTTAATGCCAGTAGCTCACAAAGTAGATTTTTTGCTCACAAGACTCCACAGCTTAGAGGGAGCATTGGTTGCCACCAGTCAGAGGAGACCAGATTGAGCTAGACGGACCTCTAGCAGCTTCTTCTGTATGTACTTAACCAAGGGCCGAACCGCATTATCACTAGATGTGGCTGTCACCCTTCCATCTTAATGTCAGATTCCACAGCCAACAACTGAGTACACGCTTATCAGAAAGGTTATACTTTATTGCAGAGCTATAGACACAGTAACAAAGTCACTGTTAAGAATGGCATCGCCCCTACAAGAATAATGGGATATAGGGTATTTGTATGCACCCCCCCCTTCCTTAGGCCAATTAGCCACATTCCCGCATGCGGGAGGAGCCCCAGACCGTTAGAGCCGAAGCTGGGAGCCGAAAGCGCTCCCAAGGTTCCCTGAATCCCAGACACTACACACCACCTGCAAGGCCATAGATAAGCAAGCGTTACAGAAGCAAAGAAGGAATGCAGCGGTACTTGGTACACAGGGCAAGCAACCATCCCACCCCCAACCCTTATGGCAGTATAGCTGACACTTATATATATTTTAATTGGATTTTCCCAAATGCAACATGAAACATAACCCCAATGACAGAAAGAAACAAAGAAGCACTAAAATGGCTGGCAAAATGCACAAGGAAACGCTTTCTCTGATATCTTGTTATTCCAAAACATTATAGAACATAGCCAATGTTCATGAAATGTGTATGAGTGCTGAAAATTATTTCCATGTGCCCTTTGATAATATGTTAATTTAAGTAACACACATTGAAACTATTGCCCCTCCAAGGGAAGTTCTAATTTTTTCCCATTTTTCTGCTATTGCCAGTTTAGCAGCGGCTCTATATCTGAAAGGGAATCATGTCCTTTCAAACAGCCCAACAGAATAATTTGTTGGGGATCAAGGGGTATGTTACCACCCAATATTTCATTAAGAGAGATCAAGATACAGAAATTTTGGAAGGACATTATAGCGCAAATTAAGTTGATAACTGGAATCGCGTTGCGATTTACAATGGAACATATTATTTTGAACCACTGGATTATGGAAGTTGGATCAAATAGCATTAATAAAACAGTAGCTATCTTACTTGCAGCAGCTAAGAATACAGTAGTCGCAAAATGGAAAAATACAAATGGCCCGAATAGACAGAATTGGCTTTCCAAACTATGGAATATGTGCACAATGGCAAAAATAACAGAAAATATTAATGACACTTATACACATTCCCACAAAAGAGAGAGAGAGAGCGCTGCCTAGGTCACCAGGGCCAAAGGGGGCACCACAAAGTTGGGGAAAGGGTGAATATTGGAACTTTGATACATTTAACTTGTGAAATATTAAAACAGATGTTGTATTGCATTTTTGTAGAACTTTATGTAGCCCAAGCTTGGCTTAGTTTGTACAGTATATTGTGTTATCTTATGAATAAATTTTTGTATTGCTGCAACCTGCATTGTATATCTGGTCAGACAAGTCAACAACTAAAATGGACTGGGACAGTGTGGAAAGGAGGGGGGCACCAAGCTTGGTAAGTGTTTAGGGCACCCGTGAACCTTAATCCGCTCCTGCACACTTCTTCAGTCATCTAGAGAAGTGAGCAGTGACTCACAAAAGCTCCTCCCCTGCCCCAAATTTTGTTAATCTTTAAAGTGCTACTAGTCTCTTAATCTTCAGTTAACAAACTGAATTACAAATTTCCAAAAAGGTTACGTTTTTGAACATGACTTAGGTATATGAGCCATACAGATGAGCCATACAGAAACACCGATCCGGTGTACGTTTATACCTCTGCTTAGTGAGATACCTTTGAAACAAATTTTTTAAGTCATTTTATTTTAAACTCATAGGGATAAGTTCAGGTACTGCACAATTCCAAATATACCTCCCATTCCTCTAAATTGATATGGATCCTGCTCCATTTTCTAATGTAGCTTTAATGAAGCACATTCTAGATTTAGTTAGCATGGAATACATTTTCATAATTAAACCTCCAGGTGGTTGATCATAATTGTATTTCTTTATCAAAATAGCTTTTCCCTACTTTTTAATTTTTAAAAAATTGCCACAACACTAATCGACCTATGATTAGAACAATATTAAAATCTAAATGAATTCAGTTGCTAATTGAACAAGTTAAATCCAGTTGTAAAAAACATTGATCAGGATTAATTCCAAAGCCACAACCAGTGTTCAGTGCCAAAAAGGAAGGGAATAATTTAAACGTGGGTCAGTGTAATGTATTCAATAGCTGCCATTGAATACATAACGATATGTGAACTACATAATTGACTTGCCATGTTAAGCTTCGTCCTGGGTTAGGATCCAAATCCATCCAATCACATTGCTAGCCCAGGAAGAACCAACCAATCACTGGTCAGCAAGCTCCCTGAGCGGGAACATCCGTGATTGGTCCTTTATGTATACAACCTTATTGGTTGATAATTGTATAGTAGGCGTGGCTACATTAGCCGGGAGAGTTTAAAAAGGGAACAGCTTTAATGCAAAAGCTGTTCTGGCTATCAGATGTTGATCTGTGTTGGAGTTGTGCTTGAGTTGTTGAATAAAGTTGAACCTTTGCTGAATCACTCTCCGACTACTTTGCTAAGCGAGCGACTTAACAGTCAGCCCACAGAAACATTCAAGAGGGTTTGTAGATAGTCACCCACGGCTTGTTGACATGAGAGCAAAGATTGGGGTGGGTGCAGGGCTATTTTTGGGCAGGAACGCACAGGAATGGAGTTCCAGCTGGCTCCTGAGTTGGCCACGCCCAGCAGGAGCTCATTAGCATAACAGGCCACACCCAACAGCAGAAATTCATCGGAATTGGCTACATTAGGGGTGTGTGGCCTAACATGCAAAGGAGTTCCTGCTACAAAAAAAGGCCCTGGGTTTTGACAACAAACATGGTAAACAGAATAAGAAGCAAAAGGTGGGTGTGGCTGGATGACCACACTTCTGGTAACATGGGGGTATGGCCTAATATGCTAATGAGCTGTACTATCAGGGGTGTGGCCTGATATGCTAATGAGTTTCTGCTGTTGGGTATGGCTTATTATGCTAATGAGTTCCTGCTGGGTTTTTTCTACAAAAAGAGCCCTGGGTGGGTGGATTTCTTGGGGTGGGGAGAGTCCATGCACATGGGTGCCACCATGGAAATGGCTGCCATGTGGAACCATTGCTCTCAGCCTTTTCCTTCCCTGCTTTTGCTGTCACTTGCAAGAAGCGCATGCACCCTGCTTCTTTGCATGGTGAGAAGTTCCTAGGGCAGCACTTATCTGGGTCAGTTCCTTTTGGAGGAGGAGGAGAGTGCATTAGAGGCTTGTGGCGTTTTTGCAACATTTGTGTGATGTGCAACTAGGCCAGTAGCGCAGAGGTGGATGCAAAGCGGCACAGGCGGCAGATCCTCCGTCCCACATCACTGGATCCCCAGTAAGAGATCCATCCTGCATCCCCAAGGTGCTTCAGCCAGCTCACAGCTCTGTCTGCCCGCTCCTCTCCCCATCCCAGAATTTAAAACTCTGCTTTCTTTCCAGACAGACATGTATCTCCTTCCTCCCTTTGTCAGCAAGTGGGGGTCATTTCTTCCAAGCCCCGAGCCATCTCTTAGCATGCAGGGCCCATTGAGGAGATACCAATAAGTCATTAAGCAACATTCCCATTTCTAATTCATCCCCAGACCCATACAATCCTAAATTCACAGCAGTTTGGTTTATATGATGGGAAATGATATAATTCCGAATTATTATAGGCTGTTGTTATATTTGTAATGTTTAGTTAATTGTTATTGTTGAAAGTAACTGTTTTAATATACTCTATAAGATAATATTGTAATTAATATACTAAAATGCTTTATGACCAGGCATTGTATTGTAAGATGTTTGGAAACTGAAAAAGGAGGAGGAGGATTTATACTTTGCTTTTCACTCAGTGTCTCAGAATGGCTTACAAACTTCTTTCCCTTCCCCTCCCTACAACAGACACCCTGTGAGGTAGGTGGAGCTGAGAGAGCTCTGACATAAACTGCTGTTTCAAGAGCAGCTCTGACAGAACTATGGCTTGCCCAAGGTCATCCAGCAGGTGCAAGTGGAGAAGTGGGGAATCAAACCCGGTTCTCCCAGATTAGAGTCTGCGCACTTAACCACTACACCAAACTGGCTCTCTACACCAAGCCATCATGAAAAGAAAAGAAACATTCCCAATATTTTGTCACGGGCTCTGGAAGCAGCTGTGTGGGACCTTTCCATTCTTGCCGAGGGAGTTTGCAGGAAAATGCCCCAAAGTTGACCTCCCTTACATGGAGGAAATAAGAGGAAGAGGCTACTTACCTGGTTTTGCAAATACCTCGTCTCTAACTGATAAATAAAGGTTGCCTGCAGAAAGAGAAGACAACAGTGCAGACTCAGAGCAGAGAGGAGGCGCTCCCACCTCACCCTCTTTCTGTCGAAAGACACAGCCTCCTTTATCCCGAGTTTCATAAATGAACCAATGTGCTTTTGACAGTCATGTGATCCCAACTGTAACCCTGAAGGGAGACTTGACTCTCAAAAGCTTCTACCCTGGAAATCCTGTTTGTCTTTAAGATGCTACAGGACTTGAACCTCGCTCCCAAGAGGAGAAGCGCACTAGAGATATCAACCAATGCAGGGAATCATTTAAGGGATGTACACAGTCGGAACAATTCATTTTTAAAAGAGACAAGGACTTCAAGTGCAGGGGTATTATTTTTAAGTAATAACAATTATCGTATGGAATTGTGGGTAGTATAGCCAGGAGATCCTAAGATAGTTTGGCAGCCTGAATTTCTAGCTGTCTTAGCATTATACACCACTAGTTGGCGAGCTAGACTTATGTTTTTGAGCTGAGAGAACTCTGAAAGAGCTGTGACTGACCCAAGGTAACCCAGCCGGCTTCATTTGGAGGAATGCGGAATCGAGCCCGGTTCTCCAGATTAGAGTCTGTCGCTCTTAACAACTGCACCATGCTGGCTCTTTAAATCAAGAACCATGTTGCAAAATGACTCCATGATGACATATGCTCCAAATGTCCTGCTTTACCAGGGGCAGCCCCTCTTTCTGGTCCCTGTCTTCGATAAATCACTGTCCCTAATGTTGTCCTAATTTCTGCCTATTTTATTGGTGTGTGTCACCTGCACTGTCATCCTTCAAGGCCCGGTCCCTTCCTTAGGGTCTCTAGAAGATAAACCTCCAAGTGTGCCTGTGTGTGTGTGTGGATGCATCCAGTGTACACATAAGTCAGCGTGTGCCTATGAAGGTGCCATGTGCACACCTGCCTGTTTCACAGGCTACAAGACAAGGTTCATTTCATAAACAGGTTGTAGGACAATCGGGTGTCTCTAGTATGTCTTTAGCCTAAAGAACAAAGGCTTTTGTAGCTACACAGGGCCGGCAACTGCTAGGGAAATGATTGGAAGGGCTCTGTAGTCTCATGTGTCGCAGAAGCCCAGGGTGTTCAGGGTGTAGTCCTTGGGATGAAGACAGGCAGGGGTCATTTCCTGCAGGAGCGCACAGGAGCGGAGCTCCGGCAGTAAAGAGCCCAGGGGGTGGGCACATGCAACAAGCCCCCCCCCCTGCTCCCAGCAGCCCTCAGTCAGAGCAAGAAGCAGCCAGGTAAGTTGCAGAGCCCCCCCCCCCCGGCCCCAAACAGTCCAGTGGCACCTTTAAGACCAAGTTTTATTCAGGTACTAGCTCTCCCTCCTCTGCGAGGACACATCTGCACGTCCTTCCCCCCTCCCCCAATAGCTAGCAATCCAAAACAGTCCAGTGGAGCCTGAGCGGTGGGTGTTGCCTTCTGACACACTTCCGGTGATGTCAGGGGGTGTGGCATATGCAAATAAATTATGCTAATGAGTTATGCTAATGAGCTGCTGCACCTCTTTTTCTACTAAATGACCCCTGAAGACAGGGGTGTTTGTATCTGTGAAGTGCTGGGTGGTGATGGGCCAGCCATGGACACGGTGATGGTTATTAAGAGCTTTGCCTATTGGATTTCTGCCTGCCACATGGCTGCCAAACGGCATAGGAATCTTCTGGAAGCCAATAAGGAGCAAGTGAGTAACTGGGCAGCCGAGGGCCACATTGTGTTGTGGAAGAAACAGGGTGAGACTTACAGGAAGTGCCGGAATGAAGATCATAACGTAAACCTGAGTGAGTCTGTCAAGGGAGGGAGAAGAGAGAAATTAGAACAGACCATGTAGCCTCGCCCCCAAAATCCAGCTACCAGGTCTAGAAGGCATTTCTTTATAGCAGCCTCAAAGTAATTATTTTCTAAGCTTGTTTTCTGACACTGCTGAAGTGTGCATTTTCAGGGGTCGCCCCATGAGAAAGCAGGCTTCAGGCAGGTAGAAATGAAATGCAAAGAGCGGCAATCCCACAATCCTTTGCACCAAGTAGGAAAGCGTGGAGAATTACAAGGGCATCTGTTTCTGCTTGGGAGGCTCATTCTTCTGCATTCCCTCTTTAAACGTAGCAGCGATCCCATAATTCCTTCCGCTGGATTAATCTTCTTCCTTTGGTCCTCCTAGATGCAAATAGGTGGCTTGAGTGCCCCTTTGCAAAGGCAACCACTGCTAGAGGTGCAGTCCTTAGTGTCGGGTTGCCAATCTTCAGGCGGTGGCTGGAGCACTCCTGCTATTTTAACTGGTCTCCAGGCAACAGAGGTCAGTTCCCCTGGAGAGAATGGCCTAGGGCTGCCAAGCCGCAGCGGGGGATCCGTGCGTCTTCACAGGATCCCTGCCGCGGGGGACAGCGATACGCGTTGCACCGCCGTCGCCAGGATGTGACGCTCGAGTCTAAGTGACTGTAAAGTTTAGAGAGAGTCCATAAGAAAAAGAGCTTAGCCAGTGTGGCTGCATATACGAGAGAGAATCCTGTCAACTTGGAGTTTTAATGTCAGAAGGACTGTGTGTGATACCTACCCAGTTATATTTACAAGTTCTTTATTCCCAAAACAGTTAAAGATAACCAGCAACGTATTTTTGTTCTTTAATCAATAAATCAAATTTTCTTTAAGTATATCCCAGAATTCAGTTCAATCCTTCCTCAGGGCCACATATACCCTCTGACATGCCCAGACCCTAGGTCACATTACCAGCAGCAGAGAGAGATTTTTGGAATTTTGAATTCCTGGTGGCAGCAGAAACTACCCAGTTTATATACAAAGAGTAATTTTAAAGTAAAAACAACCCCCCAGATAAGCAGCGCGCCACAGTTACCAAACTCCGGGTGGGGCTTGGAATTATCCCCAGTTGGAATCACAACTGATCTCCAGATGACAGAGATCTTCTGTCCCCTGGAGGAAAGGGCTACTTTAGAGGGCAGCCTCTATGGCCCCTCACGTCCCTGTGGAGCTCCCGCCCTAACCCCTTCCCCAAACTCCACCTTTCCTAGGCTCCACCCCCACGCCCCCAGGAATTTCACAAGCTGGAGCTGGCAACCCTAGCAAGGCAGCCACTTTGTTCCTCCTGGACATAGTTGGCTAGAGCACCCTTTTCAACATGGCTTCTGGAGTTCTGGCCCCGCTGGTGGACCTCCTGACGGCATCTGGGATTTGGCCGCTGCATGACACAGAGTGTTGGGCTGGATGGGCCATTGGCCTGATCCAACATGGCTTCTCTTATGTTCTTATGGTTACATTTGAATCAGTCTCTTTCAAACATCTCAAGGAAAATGGCGGCTGTCTACCATTGGATATTCCTGCACGGAATTTAACACTGAATTACTGTTACTCCAGCATGTGTGCAGCCAGCAAGAAACCCACTGGCAAATAATCCTGTCCTCCTCCTGAACTACGCCAGGCCCAGATTCCCCCTCACCTGGAGACTTCCGGGTCCTGTCGGATGAGCAAGAGGAACTGTTCCGTGTTGATGAAAATGGCCCAGCAGGGGAAGCAGCAAAGCAGAAGGATGAGGACCCCCCGTTGCAGGATGGTCCCCACACGCTTCATGTTCTTCCCGCCATAGGTCTGGGAAAAGAAGGTGTGTCAAGCGTGTAAACAAACCTGCGCTTATAGTATTACTACAAGGGATCCACAGAGCAGCCCCTTTCCAATTTGTTATGTTTTTGTAAGTCATTATTGCAAGCCTTTCCATTCTGCCTGTTTAAATTGCTGCTGTTCTCAGTTTCTTTACACGAAATACAATGGGACCACGGAGATACTAAGTGTGTTTTGAATATCTGTATACAAGATGTTGTGCTTGTTTTGTTATTTGTATTAGTTCCATAAGAATATATTGGCTCTGAAGAAGTAGAATCGAAACTCTCTCAGCTGACAGGAGACGTCAGCCTGGTTTCTCAGCCTCCCTGCAGACCTGAAAGTTTGAAACTGAGAAATAGCAAAGAAGCAGAGGTCATTTCCTGCAGGAACGCACAGGAGCGGACCTCCGGCAGTAAAGAGCCCAGGGGGCGGGCACATGCAACAAGCCCCACCCCCTGCTCCCAGCAGCCCTCAGTCAGAGCAAGAAGCAGCCAGGTAAGTTGCAGAGCCCCCCCGCCCCCCCGATCCAAAACAGTCCAGTGGCACCATTAATACCAAATTTTATTCAGGTACCAGCTCTCCCTCCTTTGCGAGGACAGATCTGCACGTTCCCCTCCCCCAATAGCTAGCAATCCAAAACAGTCCAGTTGAGCAGTGGGTGTTGCCTTCTGACACACTTCCAGTTATGTCAGGGGGTGTGGCATATGCAAATGTTATGCTAATGAGGTATGCTAATGAGCTCCTGCACCTCTTTTTCTACAAAATGACCCCTGCAAAGAAGATTACAGTGTTTTCAAGGACTGTATACAGCCCATTTACTGCTTTAGGAAGGCTTCTTTATACTTATGTATTAGTTTCATAGCTTTTGTGCTTTAATAAGCAATAAGTACATGTGGATCGTACTAAAAGATTTACAGTCTAATTTCCATGCATGATTTTCTCATTTATTATGTTTGAGACATATGCCTTTAAGTAACACTTTAGTGGTATTAGACCTTGAGCAATACATTCTCTCTGCAGTGTCATTTGTTTTTGTTATTCTTCTCAGTTTCTTGGCTTCCTTTGCACCATCTGTCCCCATTTTAATGTGATTCATTATTCCTTAGATGCCATCTTGACATGATTAAGCAAAGATGGCACGAGAAGCTGCGTCCATTGAGTGGGGCAGAAATCTGGTGAGGGGGAACCCAAAACAGTGCCAAATTGAAAAGGTTCTGGGGTTCAGTTTGTGCCAGGGAGGAACAAGATTGGTTTTCAAGCTGCAACGGCAAGGCTGCCAATTCGGTTGTATCCTGAATTATTCACTATATGGAGAGGATATACGGGATATGGAAATTGGCTCATTCAGAACTAGGGTTGCCAAGTGCAACTTACCTTAGAGCGGGGGAGTCCCGGTTCCCGTCCTGGAGCTTTTCGGAAGTGACGTCATCGCATCAGTCACATTGGGGGCGGGACCACTATGATTCGAGGGAAAACCATAGAGTTTTCCCTCAGATCATAGAGCGTCCCCCCGCAACGTGCCCGGCATGATGATGTCGCCTCCGGGTGACATCATCAAGCCAGGCACGTTTGCACTTTCCCGGCATTTGGGGGTGGGGTTTCCCCTGGCGGCCTCGATCCGGGCCAGTGAGTATTGAGCGGGGGACTTGGCAAGCCTATTCAGAACAGAGGAAAGTTTGACTGCCATAACTGCCAGAGACACTTTTATTTGATTGTTTTTTGAGACTCCATTTTATTTGTTTAATCAAGGTTCTAGCCGTGATGGCTTCAAGATAGGCTTCAAAGAACGCATCTATGCATTGGCTTCTAGATCTCAGAGGGTGAATTAGGTTTCCAGTATTTTGTAGACACAAGAGCGTCAGCAGCTGCTTAACTCTCCGTCCCTTCCCAGGGCCAGAATAAATCATGTAAAATAAGAAATATTATGGACATTTCAAATCGCTGTGGATCGGACACAAGAGCAGTCCCAGTTACTCACCTGTGATACTAACGTATCGCAGGCTGAAGACAAACCGAATCCGACAGAGATACCTGTTACGTTTATCACCTAGAAAGCATCAGAGAGAGCGAGAGAGAAAATTGTTATTGGGGAGGCAGGGAATGGATGCATGTGTTGGAAAGGGCAGTCTGTTCTTTTGGGTGAAGGTTTCCTGGCTGTCTGAAAGGAGCCGTCTTGAAGAGAGGACATGCAAAAAGGTGACATGAGTTCAGACAAAGATTTCAAGCAGTTGAAACTCCTTTAAGAAGAATAGGCTTGCTGTATCAGACCAACCGTCCGTGCAGCGCAGTGTCCTCTTTCTCACGGTAGTCATTCAGATGCCTCGAAGGGCCCACAAGTAAGAGGCCAGAGGCCTCAGCCTCCTCCTGTTCTTGTCCCCCAACAACTGGCATTCGGAGGTAGCCTGCCTCTGTGAATGGATAGCCCTCTCGCAACCTGGCATGGCCCCAGCAGAATGACTTCCCCATTCTCATTTAAGGTTGCTCTGTTCGTATTTTATGTCATGCCTTCCCCTCACCTCACCTCAGGTTGCCAGCTCCGGTTTCGGAAATTCCTGGAGATTTGAGGGCATTGACAGGGGAAGGGAGAGTTTGGGGAGAGAGCGAGCTCTGTGGGGATGTGATACTATAGAGTCCACCAGAAGAGGAGGAGGAGGAGGAGGAGGAGGAGGAGGAAGAAGAAGAAGAAGAAGAAGAAGAAGAAGAAGAAGAAGAAGAAGAAGAAGAAGAAGAAGAAGAAGAAGAAGAAGAAGAAGAAGAAGAAGAAGAAGAATTCCACCCCGGGTCTTTGCAGTCCAAAGAAGATTTAAGTGGGGGTGTTTCTCAGTCAGAGTGCAAAGTGGTGCACAGATGGTGAGTTGAGGCACTTTGGGGACAGCCCGGGAGGGAGGTGGCCCAGAAGAAATGGGAGGGGCCAGGCCCCGTGGGCCCCACGTTAGCTACGGGCCTGTCTGGAGCCATCCTTCCTGAGCTAAGACAAAAATGTGTGAGCTGGAGGCTAAAAACCTGTGAGCTAGCTCACACTGACTCAACTTAGAGGGAACACTGCCTGTGAGGTAAGTGGGGCTGTTTATACTCCGTTCTTCACTTCCTGAAGGAGTCTCAGAGCGGCTTACAAACTCCTTTCCCTTCCCCTCCGTCCAACAGACACCCTGTGAGCAATGCTCCCTGTAAGCTGTGGAGTCTTGTGAGCAAAAATTCTACCTTGTGAGCTACTGGCATTAAAGTTGTGAGCGAGCGATTTGGCTACTACATACATTAGTTTGCTCTGGAGCCCTCCTTCCTGAGAGAGCCCTCAAGAACTGCCCTTGATAGAACAGTTCTGAGAGAACTTGTAACTGACCCATGGTCACACCAGCAGCTGCCTGTGGAGGAGTGGGGAATCAAACTTGGTTCTTCCAGATTAGAGTCTGCACTCCTAACCACTGCACCAAACTGGCTCTCTTTGAAGCGGCCATTTCCTCCAGGGGAACTCATCTCTTTCTGGAGGTCTGTTGTAGTTTCAGGAGAACTCTGGCCTCAGCTGAGATTGGCAACCCACTGGCCTCACATGACACACCGCTCTCCCAAGAGAGTGAAGAGGCCTTGCACAGAACATTAGAAAACAACAACAACAACTGTACTCACTGCAATGGCAAGCGTGACTGATGCCAGTTCCACCTTGCCGAGATGGCCACAGAATATTGAGCTGACAACATGGATCATAAACACCAGTAGCTGGATGATCGTCTGGGGAGAGAAAAGTCAGGGCACCTGAAGAGGGTTTCCCAGCTCCTGAAAAGCAGCCTCTCCAACTGTTTTGGGAAGACTCACTTGCAATGTACTTAAAGACTGCATTCAGATATCACTAGATGCAAGTAAGGGAATCTCTGTCTTGCCCACGAGCCCCGGCATGTCCGCTACTCAACAAAACATAGTTTGTTAATTCAGACATCACGACAAAGCACAAAACCATCTCCAACCCCTCGTTTGAAATCGTGGTTTGGTACCAGCCATCCTCTTCATCCAGACATTCCAGGGAAGCAGGGTTTCAACAGACGATGGATCCTGAACACAGACCCAAGCTTAACTGTAGACAGAAACTCGTTCTGTTCAGTCGATTCAAAGCTAGCTGCCTCCTGTCTTAACCTTACTCGCAAAAAAAAAAGACATCCCTGTTGAGGGGAGGAAACTTGCCTGTCCGTAGCTCCACTATGAGCCTGATCTTTTCAGATCTCGGAAACTAAGCAGGGTCGACCCTGGCTAGTACTTGGATGGGAGGCCTCCAAGGAATACCAGGGTCGTGACGCCGAGACAGGCAATGGCAAACTACCTCTGAACATCTCTTGCCATGAAAACCCTACAGGGTCACCGTAAGCCAGCTGATGGCAAAAAAAAGAAGCAAGCTCTGAAATAAGGTTTTGTATATCTCCCTCAGCTCTGTGCTGTCTCAGTGGCATGGGCAACTTCAGTGGCATTGATGATGCTTCAGAAACCATTAACAAAATTGACAGTAATCAGAACAAGGAAGGGAAAAAATGGGAGGTTTCCGAGGAAAGGCAGTAAGCCTTTAAAACCTTCCAACGTCCATCCCGCACGGAGTTTCCCCCTTGGCCTACGAGTGGCAAACTGCGCCTCTTACCAGGGGTCCTGCCAGCACCAGTATCTTCTTTGCCTCCTCCCAGAAGTTGGAAGGAATCCACGGGCATCGCTTCCTGCAGCCGCTTGGCCCCGGATCCTCCTGATTGACGGCTACAGCGTTGTGGGGCGGCTTCTCTAGAGAGTTGGGGGGCGGCTTCTCTTGGACGGGGGTCCCGAGCTCCATCAAGCGAGCGAGATGGGGCCCTGGATTTCTTTTTGCTCAGACCGTCAAGTTCATGTGCCCGACTCCAGAAAGCTGCGAAACAGACTTCAGCCAGCTCTGTAGGATCCTCCCCTCCTGGTCGGATGCCCCTCTAATGTTGGCAAAAGGGCAGGGATTAAAGTCTACAGAGCCGGAGGAGGAGCTGCTGTTTTTGGAGGGTCTAAGGTTACGGAGAGAGCCTGGCCTGGAAGGCCCGAGATGGGTCCCAGCCAGCGGCCACAGGGTCACGATAACTCCTGAGGTATCAACAACAGGAGCGAGAGCTGAAACTCGATATAAGAAACTCCCTCTTGCTGAGCCAGACTGTGGGTCCGTTCCGCCCAGCGTGCTCCCCTTGCGCTAGCCGTGATCCTAGGCGCTGTGTTCCCTTATAATTTGGCAATCCCTCAAATAAATAAAGCATCCCTATGTTACCCTATGCTCCTGCTAAGCCCGTTTGGGATGTTTCCAGCTACAATAACTTGAGGGAGTTCTTTCCAAGATTGCTTTTTAGTGGAATCTTGGATAGAGGTGTCAGCCCTGGGTTGCCAGATCCAGGTTGGGAAGCTCCTGGAGGTTTGGGGGTGGAGCTTGGGGGAGGACAGGGACCTCCGTGGGGTAGAATGCCACGGAGTCCACCCTCCAAAGCATCCGTTTTCTCCACGGGAACCGATCTCTGTAGTTGGGAGGTGAGCTGTAATTCCAAGGGGATCCCCAGGTCCCACGTGGAGGCTGGCATCCCTACTGGTTTGTGTGAGGGTTGCCAGCTCCCAGGTGGGAAATCCCTGGAGTTTTGGAGGTGGTGCCTGCGGAGGGTGGAGTTTGAGTAAGGGAGAGATCTCAGTGGGAATGTGGTGCCAAAGCAGACATTTTTGCCAGAGGAACTGATAGCTGTACTTTGGAGTTGTTAAGTCGCTCGCTGAACAAAGCAGTCGGAGAGTGATTCAGCAAGAACACAACTTTATTCTTCCACTCGAACACAACTCCAACACGGATCAACATCTGATAGCCAGAACAGCTTACACATTACACATTTTAAACATTCCCGGCTAACGTAGCCACACCCACTGTACAAATACCAACCAATAAGGTTGTTCACATAAGGACCAATCACGGACGTTCCCGCTCAGGGAGCTTGCTTGAAAGTGATTGGTTAGGTGCTTCCTGGGCTAGTAACACGATTGGATGGATTTGGATCCTAGCCCGGGATAAAGCTTTACATTACACTTCAATTAGATGTTTCACAACGTATCATGCATTCAAGGCAGCTTTGAATACACTACAGGATATAATACCATAGAGTCCACCTTCCAAAGTGGCCGTTTTCTCCCCGTTCTCTGTGGCCTGGAGATCAGTTGTCGTCCCAGGAGCTCTCCAGCTGCCACCAGGAGATTGGCAACCATTCACTGACCACACTTGGACTCAAGCCTGGTTTCTGGGATGGAGAATGTGATGGCAGCCAATTTCCTCTCCCGTTGCTGTTGTGGCTAAAGGTCCGTCTGCTAGAGAGCCCATGCCAGAGACAGAAAATAAATCCTGGAAACATAATACGCCCGGCATATATGTGGAGGGCTCATTCATACATATTCCAGGAATACAACATCAACTTTCCCAAACATATTCTTACAGATGCCAATCGATAATCCACCTAGAGAAGGACCGTTGCTTAAAGGAAGCGTGCAGGGTTTGTGTGTGGAAAGAGAGAAGTTCACTCCCAGTCACGGACACGTTGTTTTGATTAGAGAACCGCAGTTTCTGAGAGCTGTCCCTGCTTGGGATGAAACTACGGTCATGTTTCTTAATGAGCAGGCTAATGAAACCCGAGAGAAACATGGCCCTTAAGGTCCACGTCTGCTTTTGCGTCAATGGCCTAAACGAAACAAAAGAAATGGGAATGCTGGCAATAGAAATGGGGCTTGTGCCAACAACACACAACATGAAAAAGGGCCTGTTCAGATATGTCTAATTTCAGGCAGGAGGGCCAGGAAAGGCCGATGTCTGCCCACGGTCTTGGGGGGGGGGGGCGCTTCCAGTCAGAACAGAGAGCACCGGGCAAGCTGAACAGGTGGGCTGTCTCTGCACAGTGGCTTTACATCAGGGGTGTCGAACTCATTTGTTATGAGGGCCGGATCTGACATAAATGAGACCTTGTTGGGCCAGGCCGTGTGTGTCATAAAATGTAATGCCAGGGAGTGGAGATATAAACTTTATAAAGGACACAAACACACAGGTGTTTTTTTTTTTACTTAAAATAAAAACATGCCTAAAACATTAGCTCTGTTAGCTGCAAGCCTACTTTTGATTGATTGACATTCACCACAGAAATCTCATGCTCAGAGTCTAGGACCCAGGGGAAAACATGAAATGGCTGAGTGATTAAGAGAGTCTGGTGAAGCAAGCTATGATGCAGCAGCAGCAGCAGAACTGGAAGCAGGAGATGGCCAGTTCCACTGCGGGCCTGTTGGAAGCCCTCCAGGGGCCTGATCTGGCCCCCGGGCTGCATGTTTGACAACCCTGCTTTATATGTTCATATCCACACGTTCCCTGTAATGATGGCGGAGGCTGCTACTATCAAGCGCTCCTCTAACTGTGCATCTGAGCTGACGGATGAGATGGGCACCTTTGGAATTCTGACACAAAATGGCTGCCTCAGAAGGCGGAGCCGGCCACAGAATGGCTGCTGCAGCTTTCCTTCAGACATACAGTGAAGATCTTTGTGCTGTGGCGACAGCTACTACCAAAGCAACATTTTAAAATGTCTGTACAGCCAATCAAATCTCCAATGGCCAGTCAGAAGCCTCACTTAGTTAAAGCCCTAACTGGCCCCACCCACCTTCTAGAAACACTTGTTGGGCTTCAGAAAAGGTGTCTGGCGCCATATTGGGGGTTTCTGGTTTAACGGTAAGACAACTGGACTATGAGATGGGAACGCCCCAGGTCCAAATGCCGACCCAGTCTTGAGGCTCACTAGGTGACCTTGGACTGATCAGTCTCTTCCCCTCAGCCTAGCCTCCCTCACAGGGTTGTTGTGAGGTTAAAGCAGAGGAGGGAAGAACCACACACGCTGCCCTCAGCAGCTTGGAAGAAAGACAAGACTCTGACTTGGGAGCCGCAGCGCGGAAGCTGGACTGATCAGCGTTGATTTGCTTTTCACCTATATGTGTTAATGAATGGCCAACTGAGAGCAATTAATGGAATCCAAAGGTGGCACTTCTTGGCCCTTGGATTCCTTTTCCTCATTTGATCTGCGAACTGGCATCAAAGCACCAATGTGCTGATTATTCCCCCTGGGATTTGCCAGACCCTCCATCCATCCATTTGCAGGCAGCTAGTCTCAGCTCAGTGGTTGCTTGGTGTATTCAGACTTTACTCAGCATCTCTCTCCACAGAGCTTTCTCCTTCTCACTCTTCCGTTGAATAACTGAATCGGATCCAACTTTTCCATTGCAATTTGCCCCCCTGTTAACTTTCAACTGACTGATGTCATATTCAGGCCTAGGAGGGACAACGCCATGATTGCGGCTGGCTCCAGAGGGCAGCTGGTGCTCCGTTTCTGGGGTGGGGGTGAGGCTTGGCAAACAAATCGCTCATTAACTGTCAGGTTAAGGTAAAGGTTCCCTTGCTCGAAAGCCAGTTGAATCCGACTCTAGGGTTGCGGTGCTCATCTCCGTTTCCAAGCCGAAGAGCCAGCGCTGTCCGAAGACGTTTCCGTGGTCATGTGGCCGGCATCACTTCTGTTTATCTCCTTGCAATTTCTTGCTTTCGAACTGCTAGGTTGGCAGGAGCTGGGGCCAGAGACGGGAGCTCACTCCGTCATGCAGCACTCCAGTCTCGAACTGCTGAACTACCGACCGACCTTCCAGCCTGCAGTTCAGCGTCTTAACCGCTTGAGTCACCACAACTCCAACTGTCAGGTTAGCCCTGAGTTAATTAAATCTCCATGGTCAGAGGCAGCGTGTGCCAGACGGAGAGCCAGTGTGGTATAGTGAGAGTGTCCACCGACAGTGTAGGAGACCCAGGTTTGAATCCCCACTCTGCCATGAAAGCTTGCTGGGTGACCTTGGGCCAGTCACATGCTTTCAACCTTAACCTACCTTGCAGGGCTGTTGTGAGGATAAAACGGAGGCGTAGATAATTGTGTAAGCTGTTTTGAGTCCCCATTGATGAGATAGGTGGGGTACAAATGCAGTAAAGAAAATAAAGGATGGGGAGGGGGCAACAAGAGGGGTAGCTCTTGCCTTCTTGCCCAGCTTCCCGGAGGCATTTGGCTTATACATTTTGGAAGGAATGAGCCCAAATGGACTTGGGGGCAATCCGAATAATAAGTGTTTAAGCAGACAAATAAGAAAGCCTGCTCCTGGGGGGAGCTTTGTATTCAGCCGGCCTCAAATCGCACCCCCAGCAGGATCTAAGGGAACGAGCGTGGGAGGAATTTGTGGAGAGCCACATTCTCCTGCCTGGTCTGATTTGTCATGCAACAAAAAAGCTGAACAGTTTGGAGGCCTTGCAGTTTAAGGGAGACAAAGATGATCGAGCACCATGATAGGGGAAGCCTATGGCATGGAAGCCAACTTTTAATACCTAATTTATAAATGACTTGGGGAAGTCACTGCCATGGGATGTACATAAGGACATAAGAGACGCCAATGTTGGATCAGGCCAATGGCCCATCCAGTCCAACACTCTGTATCACACAGTGGCCAGAAATACCAGGTGCCATCAGGAGGTCCACCATGGGGCCAGGACACTGTTGCACGCCCCCCCCCCCGAGCACCAAGAAGCAGCCCCGGGCCCCCCCCCCCCCCCCCCCAAGCACCAAGAAGCATCCCTTGCCCCAGCCTGAGAGTTCCTATCTACAGTAAAGGTAAAGGTTCCCTTGCTCGAAAGCCAGTCGAGTCCGACTCTAGGGTTGCGGTGCTCATCTCCGTTTCAAAGCCGAAGAGCCAGCGCTGTCCGAAGATGTTTCCGTGGTCATGTGGCCGGCATGACTAAACACCAAGGCGCACAGAACGCTGTTTCCTTCCCACCAAAGTGGTACCTATTTATCTACTTGCAATTTCTTGCTTTCGAACTGCTAGGTTGGCAGGAGCTGGAACTAG